AAGTGTCGCTCCTCCTCACGTCTCGGAGTTTCGTATGAAGAGTTGATCGCACTTTTCATTATCCATGGACGAGGGATAGCACATTGATTTAAAACTGAAGCATCATACAAATTACATTCGTTCAAAAAAATCGATAAAACTTCGACGGTGGTTATGAGTCGATCCTTCAATCAATGTCTTAAATCAATGCTTCAAGTTTATGCACGAAAAAGGCAGAACTTTTTATCCCTCAGGTATTCTTGTATTTATTTTAGAAGTATCTAATCTAATTTTTACGAAAGAGGGATTTTATTTCAATAGCCTTCTTTAATTATGGACACTTGTTGATTCTCAAGAACTAATCTCGCACAGATATTTTGAACTACGACAAACAAATAAATGAAAAGGAACTTTTTTGCGCTTCAACAGTATGGGAATCAGCGTGGTTCTCAAACAGCCGAAGTGAATCTCCGTTTCTTATGAGTGAATGTAAGGAATGTCACAATTGAACACGCGACAGAAGCAGCAATGCAATAAAAATTTTCATTTAAACTATAGAACGGAATACAGCAACAAGTTTATTTCCCGACGGAGCGCACTTCAGGTAAAATAAGAAAAATCGATGAACAGCTTCACGAAGAGCTTGAAACGATTAAATTTCAATCTCGCGCAACACAAACGAATCCGATATTCCTTTCCTTTTCTGTAATCTTTTTGAGAAGCTTGCATTCCCGTCGAATATCTATAGTTCATCAAATTTTTCTCTGACTCGTTCTCTGCTTTCTCCGAGAAATTTCTTGGCTTCAGGGATCACGATTTTGATTTATCTCACTAGTCGAATGAGGCGTCCGCGTTCAAGAACAACTTCACACTACAATGCCTATACCGCTGCATTTAATATAATGGCCTTTTTTATGTCATGCGAAGAACTTCAGGCGGAGAAGGGTCGCAATATTTAGTAAAATAATGTAGGAGCTCAATAATATCATAGAGGGGATTCGAAAATCACACTCAGATCTCAAATGACGAAGGAAAGCCTTCGACTGCGTTCAGCATAATTTTTATTTCAAATACGTATCCTAAATCAATGGTCCTCAATCAGTACCATTCCGAGAAAAAAGAGTAAGGCAAGAAAAATAAAACGAAATCAGATATCAGACTTGCAATTATTGCTGTTTGAAATGTTGAATCAACTTAAATTATTCACGCATGGCGTAGCAGACCTTGGGAAAATACAAAAGACACAGAATTTGAGATACTCGAGATGAATAACCTTGGAAATTTGCTCAAGATAAGAAACACCACCACAGAAATTGAATCCGAGAAGGTTTCCGCACTTCCGCGGGTCAAAAGGATTGAAATTTTCTGAGAAAATCGTATCGCGTTGCAGTGCAAAATAAATATGTCCACGTGATAACACATTGCTTTTAAAGGATTGAATTGATTCGGAATAGGAAAAGAGCGGTTTCGAAGCACCACCCTAATGCACGAGAGTGGTACCTCTCAACGGGCGCATAATGCGAAGAAAAATTAACACCAGTCCACCGGGGACAGCGCTTCATCTCAATTACACCACTGTACAGTACTTGGCTTTTTCATTTGTTTCAACATCGAAGCTAACGTCGGAAGGAGGTCAATTTTTTCGTAATTTACGGTAATTTATAAATGAAGGTAAGCTTGCAAATTCCATGCAGGAGCCCTACTTTTGGAACTGATCTACTTGTACCACAAATACGGGGTGGTTGGTCCAGAAAATTTTGGACCTACCTCTGAACTGCTGCGGTAAATTTCCCCAACTACTCAAAAACATTTAATTTAGCCTCAAATGATAGTCCTACTCGATTTCTTTCAATCTTTGCTTATCGCAGTGCTATATTCGTATTCATCATATTCAACAAAGCAGTTCTATTGTGAATTAAACTCATTTTATCGTTAAGCTTCACATGAATTTTGTCACAAATGTTTTCTAGAATGCAGCCGCTCTTGAAAATCGTCGAAATTGTCTTGGCCGCCGTGTATCAGTAATGGAAAACGCGTCCAGAACAACGAAAGATCCGTGCAAGTGAATAACAGTGTTCCGAACAAATTGGATTCGTCGTTGGGAGGCACTCCCGTTCCGATAAAGTGATTATCATCCAATTCGGAGCTTGAAACAATGAAGAGATTCCGATGTCGACAATTTAGACGGATTGATGACAGTCGCGACGTCCGACGTGCAAGCCCCCCAGTATGACATGCAGGTAGAGCACGAATGGGCCGTGATGGGCCGCGACTCATTGAGAATAGATGAGCTCCGTGAAGGCTCATCGGAGCCGACTAGCTCGTCAAAGATTAAGCCCAGAAAGAGGGCATCCGCAGGTGTCGAGCGGGCAGCCGGCAGCGAGTCCGCGCGGCCTTCGACACCGCGACCCGCACATTTCCCCAAGACCGTCTTGTTACAGCGGCGCCTCTTGAATAGAATGACAGGACCGTCGACAGAGACGCAGAGTCCTGCATCGTTGCCAAGGAACGCGAGCACCCCCCTTTTCCCTCCACGTTCGATGCACCACCCTCACGTCTTATCTACACCCGCGCCTCAACTTGTTCTCGTCTTCAGCCTGGGCCCTCTCTTGTACCCGCACTCACGACTCAAACAATGCCGCCATTCCTCCCGAGGGATACTTCAACTCATAAAAATCTCATTCCGCGTTCTCGCAGAGATTTCAATGAATGCGACTGATGACAAGGGACCATCACCTTTGAGAATACCTCGTGGACCCTTCTTCCGGCTCACCCACAGGCTCAATTTCGACCTCCTTTTGGAATTGCTTCCTTGCACTCCAAAAGGATGGAATGGAGCGAATCTCCATGCGACTTCAAGCGCAACCCGGGCACATTATGGCAAGTTGTGTGCTTCCGGACGGTAAATGTTTCTGTACACGCTTTTCATTACCAGAACCGCGACCATTATTCATCAGAGGCGGAACCGGTGGAATGATTTCGCTTCCGTAAATGCGGAACAACGCCTCTTCCTCGACTATCCTTTCCGGGAGAATATTTTAATGGGACCTGAAATATACACGTAACTCAACTCCTACTTCAAATGCCTGGAGTTTTACCATGAGTTAATCAAATTCCTCACAAAGCTGCAGGTCCAATGTCAGCAGCTCGATTTCAAACAGCGACAATGAAAAGGCAGAATAGGAACTCTTGTCCGTCCCGAATTACACGACTCTTTTGTTCTGATACTTGGGACGGTTTCGTTACCAAAAGGGGGAAATATCAGGGGCACCCGTAAACGCTCATACTATGAATAAATATCCTTGCAAGGCGCAAAGAATTTAGCTCCTGGGTTCTTGAAGTTCCAGGTAATTAGGTAAATGAGATACTCCACAAATATTGTAAAATTCAGATTATCTAGGACTCGATGAACAATTGACCATGCCTAAATGCTCAATTTAGAGGAAATGAAGCAGCCCGAAAGCCTCATAAACTTTCAACTCCAGACACTCAATCCTCTTTTGACATATAATCCGGGCTAATGCGGTTCAAGATTTGCCTGACTAATTATACCAAGTAATCCTTGGATATTAATAAAAATTAATGTATTCTAAAAAATTTCCCCAAGAAGTCGATGATCCCTGCCAAAAGATTAAACGTGCAGAATGTTGTCAACTCAGCACAGATAACTCAAGTTACACTTAATTTTATACTGGATGACGGATTAAGCGACGGTTTCGAGAACAACTTGGCACGTGCAATTGAAAAGGAGTGTCTTTCACTTGACAGACAGGACAAAAAAAAAAAACAGCCCTCACAAGGTCATCCTTGAAAAGCAGCCTCACAATAATTTTCCCAACCAAAGTTGAGAATGCAGGTTTGTCTGCTGGGAAAGAATTCCTTTTTCTGAATTTCTCATCATGAGTAACCAATGCGCTCGCGGAGACGCACTGGTTCCATCCATCAAATCAGGTCGGGAACGCAAAGGACGCTCCACAAAAACCAACCTAATAATTTATCGCACTAACACCCACTTCGAAAGGTAATTTTCCAGGAAATTTTACAGTCAATGAGTCACACAATCACGTGACGATTCAAGGACAAAAAAAATGCTTCTGGTTGACTACAAAAGCATAGAAAAAAATGGTTTAAATACAAGATCGCCTACCCTTCAAGTGAGGACCGATTCATCGAATTCGGCCTCATGTGAATCAAAACAAATCCGATGAAAGGAAAACGTTACAATTGACCAGAAGGCGTCACGCTCGCGTACATTTCGGAGCCAGATGGAGATATCAAGCTGACAGCACACTAGAAAACGCTGTTTTATTTTACGGACTAGCGTTGAACTACGGTATACACGCGCACAATCCGGAGTAAAACAAAAATAACGTGAAAGCAAGGACGATGAACGATTGCACGCATGACAAGAAAATAACCACTTCGTGACCCAGGTTCTGACGGATCCATCAGAGTGGAAATAATTTTCGCTTATCCGCTTTGACTCGGGTCTCGCTACTCGTTTGAAATTCGACTCGACCTTCTCCTTTGCAGAACCGGAAACTTGGCAGAAATTTACAGCTGCTTTTAAAAAAATGACTTGGGCAGAGATCAATGTCAATTCCACAGGCACGGAAAAATATGCACCCATTCATATGTCCTGATTCGCACGACAGCGGCATGCGCCGAGTTCCGGGAATGAACACGGGGTTTCCCCGTCGCTGAAACGCTCCAGTAATTGAATTCGGTGATACTGTACTTTCTTTCTACGTACTCGGAAGCTTCAATTTACCACAGAACCCGCAAGGAGAATTTCAACCACGACCTTCATCTAGTCCGGCTCTGCGGTCTAGTCACGCAAGTTCCGGAAATAAGCGTCGAAGCATGCACTTCGAACGCCTCAGAGCGTATCCTCTAGGAACGGTGATCTGGTCACGAAACCAATATGTTTCTAATCTTACTGATTTGTCCAGAGGAACCCTTCGTCGTGCGCAGCAACGCTCAAAGTTTCTCGAGAGAGAATATAAAAAAATGGGACTAACCTTCTGTGGGAGATGTGTACAAATTCTTGCATATATTGAGCACTCCGGAGTATTCCGCGTTGATTTTATCGATTGCCTCACGACCGCGAACCTCCATGAGATCCCGCAGTTGTTTAAGGCTGATGCCATATTGTGCAGGACGTCCGTTGACAGTGGCCATGATAGCAAGTTGGCACGCTAACTGCAGGTGATTAGGCTTGCCGAGGGTTTCCACAAAGTCTCGGGTCTACGCTCACTTCATTACCAAGTCTCAGAACAAATACCGGGGTGTTGCGGATTTCTGTTCCAACGGGATACGGCCGGGGATTCACAGCTACCTTCTCATGATACGTCAGTCACGACCCGAACTGATTTGCGTTCCCGTTCGCGCCGAATTCAGTTCACCTCGTTCTGCAGCGGTCGACCCCCGACATAAAACAGGGCCGACCTGACGGACGGGGGAGGGGATTTAAATGAACGATTCCCCGGTTCACGTATTCATCCGAATCCAAAACACGACACGTTTGGTGATCACTGAACGAATTTTCACAGCTTTCGATAAGAATTTAATAAAACAGTCAAACACTATGTATCCAAATAAGACACGAGATTCAGCAAAATGGATTATGAAATACAGGCGTCGTTTTCAACATCGGCTCTAGATCTGGTTTTCTTGAAGAGGCTCTTTTGGAATCAATTTTTATGGCTCAAAATTCAACGAATTTTTATTTGGGTGGGGCTAGGGCTTCACCTCGAGTTATTTACAGCACCCTTGTATTAGGGTACAGTACTGTACAGGGGTCCCAATCTTAATTTCGAGGGCCCAAATGGGGCTTTATACTTCACAGCACGCTGATGTTCGGCAAAAATTTGATATATTTAATTTTTAGTTTCTGGCTCTTTTATTCAATTGAACTTTTTCGGTCCCATTTCCCTATATCAATTGCGAGCACTTGCATGAAGACTCCGAACATTAAAGGCCTCGAGGAACATCAATTGAGAACTTTTAATTTGCGGCCATGGTTCAAGAACTGCCGATCGTAAAACAAAATTTCGATTTAGATCATAACTGATATACAGTATTATGTCCCTCCTAAAATGTGTTACTCTAGCTGACTAATTGTACATAATGCAGCTCATCTTATATCGTAAGAATCGCATGACTTTCGTGACGTAAGATTACCTTTGATACAGTAACTGCATCAATACGCAAGAAAATAAAAAATAAAATTGTTAAAATCATCAGGCATGCCTCAACTGATTTTGCACTGGTTTCCCTATTCAACAGTAATATGGTTGAACATAAAAACCCCATATCGTCTCCAAGACACATTAAAGAGAATACCAGATTATATCATCACAGCAAAGATGATAGAATCTCGAATAGTACAGCGGAGTAAATTATAGTTCCTTCCAACGAATTTTTGATTCCTTGTTTCCAGGGTATATATTTGCAGGAACTTATACAGATTAGCTTGAATCAAAAAATGTTTGCAAACGATGGAAGCAAAAAATTACAGCTGTGCATGAAAGATATAACAATATTTCAAAAGGAAATTCAGGCAGGGCTCAATAGTAAAGAAAAAATTGCATCCCAAAAACAATCATGAGGGTGGAATATTCACAAATAACGTCCAAGATATTTTAATTTTTTAAAAGTTCAATGGAGTTTCTCACATTCAGCAAATGTGTTTCATGCTTATTTTCATATTTTCAATGTAAACTCACGAACGATCAAAATCCACGAAAATCAACTTGCGAAGGAATAAATGGCAAATAATGCTTGCCAGCACATTTATTCCACAAAATGACGCCAAAATAAATGCACCACCGACAACTGTGATGCAATCCGACAGCGAGAAGCTGGGGAGAATTTTCTAACTGAATCAAGCTCACAAAAAAATTCAATGCTTTACCTTTGCTACATTTCACGCTAGAAAGCAAGCACTCCATCCTTTTATCAACGAAATCGACTTTTCTCCCGTTCCCACACACAGCACGCATCCCGAAGGCGCGAAGCAGTCTAACGGCCCGGCAGCTTCATGCTCTCCTTAAAGCCGCGTGCCGCGCGGAAGAGGGCGCCGTACATACACAGAAAGCGAAAACCTGGATCCAACGTTCAGGGGAGCTTCTTGCAACTGCCATAGAACAATACAGTAGTCACTCACAGTGCTGCCCAAGTCACAAGTGGCCAAGAGCCACATTGAAATAGTAGAGCATTATGCGGGCCACAATGGAAAAAAGGCAGAAAGCATTACATGCATTTTGTATTTGATAAATTTCTGGGATGCTTGCAATCCAGTCTAGCATCAAGTTCAAGAAATCCAGTGCTTTAAAAAAAATGACGTTTTCATCTAGAAACCATATTGCAGCATTTTCACTGCTTTAGTTTGACTTGAGAGTCTGCATTGCTGAGTGACTGATATTTTGTTGATGGAATTATATAGAAATTAATCTGCATATTTTTTCAAAAAGATTCAACTGAAGTCCAAGAATAATGGACATTTCTGAGGGAGTTAAATGTTAAAAATTATTTTTGGCTGAAGCAAAGATGAGTGCCTGTTTTACAGAAGTTGACGGAGCAATTCTTGAGAAGATACAGTTAAAAATGTTTGTCAACAATGCATAACATTTCTTGTGCATTCTAAGTATGGGTCTATAACTCTATACTGTATATAAAAAGAAGCATTAGTTCAACCCCTGAGCACATGAAATGTTCATGGCCTTTTAGGGATGGTCATAACCAGGGTTTGTGTCTGGCAGCACATTCAAGAAATGGGGGATTTTTCAAGATTTTTTTTTATCTTACAGAGCCAGTTTAACTCACATTTGCATTTTCACCTGAAGGTCTACTTTTGTTTATGCTATTTCAAGAATTAAGCTACTGTGTATTTTTCCTTTATGTCAAGGGATGCAATTAAATTAAAAACACAACAGAAAATGCTGGGGTGAGATTTTATATTCAAGATAAAACAACCCTACCACTGTTTATTTCAAAATCAGAACCACTGACATCACAAATAAACGCATATACAGTATAATGTTCTAATTATCTTTCTTGTTGTAAGGAAGCATTAAACAAATGTTGAAGCCCTAATAAAATTCCTCATACAATTTGCTGACTTGGATGTCTTGGAAATCTGACTTTTGCACTTGTCAGAATTGATTTGTGATTGAAGAAACTGATGCGGGCTCTGTTGTTAACCAAATAAATTTGTTACACGGCATCTTGTGTCTGTGTTTCTTGTTGAACCAACTCAATTTGTTGCAGCGCAGATGGGCGTCCACCCTGCTAGCAGCTGAGCCTGTATTCCCTGCACTGTGTCAGAGACCACTGCAGTGGGATCAGGAGTAGCCTCCGGGGGGGGGGGGGGTTTGCTGCATGGGGAATGTCTCCACCTGTGGTGGGCTCCTTGCTGGTGATGGAGTCACCTCTGGTCTGTCTGGCTGATGTTCCACCTCCAGTGGAATAAGGTTTTGGTAATTGACTGACTGCACAGGAAGAGCAGTGTCAAAGTCCCATCAGTGTGGGATACCATTGGGATACCAGCATGGCAACAGTGCAGATCTTGTCATACCATGGACTGGCACAAACTTCCACAATAAAGCAGAGCTTCCATTTGAGGCATGACATTGGTGTGTCACCCTTGAAGGTTGCCACTTTCAGTAGCATGACCTGGCCAACTTTTGGTTCCAGGTGCTTGGGCCCCTTGAGCAAGTGCATTGGAAAGTAGCAGAGTTTGGTGATGTACCCAATGTAGAATGCATGCCATAGGTCCTTAAGGTAGTCCAAGTGCAGCTTGGTCTTTCTGGTCCACATACTCAAAGGATTGCAATGGGGGTGGTCCATATAGCAATTTGGATCCCATGCAGGATCTGTGGTGTCCTCCCCTCCTGGGCTCAGGAACATGGATGCGCTGATGCAGATTGGATCCTTCCAATTGGTGGGCAGGTATGTCAGTGGGTGGGAATTTAACATCCACTCCACATATTTGATGGCCTCACAGATTGTAGGGGTGTGTTTGAAGTGCACCCCTTTGAAGGAGCACACTATAACTGGCCCTTGATTATGCCCATCATGCACAAGCTGCATTGTAGTGCCACTGCACCTTGTTCCAAGAAAAGTGCTGTTTGAGTTCCACCTCCTTGGCCTTCAGGAATCAGGGCCACTCTGCCCGGAATGCAACCCCATTGTCTGATATAATGTAGGTTGGGCTGACATCCTGGGAGTGGCAGAAGGTGTTGAAGGTGGTGGTGAATACCTTCAGTGTCACATCCAACACTGGCTCCAGCAAATACTCTGCCCAAACCAGTGGGCAGGAGAAGACACAGATGGACATGGTTTTGCCATCCAGGGTCTCAAAAGGACCCACAAACTCCACCCCCACAGTCTCAAATGGTTTTGTTCCTGAATGCCAGTAAGGGGGCAGAGGTGCTATGGGTTGCATGAATGGTATTCACCATTGTCAAACTGTTGACACTATGGGCACTCCTAGATGATGTTCCTTACCATGAGGGTGGTGTCCTTCATCCAATAGTGGTGTGTCAGCCACTCCAGGATGGATGTGGTGGATGTGCACTTCCACTCCTCATGGTGAGCCCAGATGAATGCCCTGATAAGTGGGAAGACTTTCCCAGGTTTGGGTACCAGGATGTGGATCAGTTGTTTGCGCACCTTGAGACCCCACCAGCAGTGTGGTAACAAGATGTCCACATCCTGCAAACTGCGTGACGTCACCAGCTTGGTGTCTGGGTCCCAGCATAAGTCAGGCTGCTTCTTGTTGTGGCGGTTGCATGTAACATTGACCCACTCAGTGTGGCTGTGGAATTTCTACATGATGTGGATTGCATTGTCATCGGAAGCCCACCACTCCTTGGCCAACCACCCTACCTGGTAAGGGTTAACTGTGTCACTGTTGGACCATGTTGCCATAGGCCAAGGTTGCTGCTGGTGTTTGCAGACAATGTAGGCCTTAAAGTGCATGAGGGCCATTTGACCTTGTCCCATGTGCTCACCTTGTTGAAAAGCTCTAGGACAGTCTGCTGTTCAGCTGGGTAGGCTTTCTTGGGATCCTTGAGCTGCTGCACAATGTTTGCAGTGACATTGAGTGGCTGCACCAGCCAATGATCCCAATGTGGCAACCATGATGGCCCCTGCCACCAAAGGGTTGCATTGACCAGTGTGTTGATGTTGCATCCCTGGGATGCCAGGTCAGCAGGATTGTCAGTCCCTGGCATGTGGTGCAATTGATGTGTTGATGTGCTCACCACAATCTTTTGTGCCCATGTCTGGACATACCAATCAGTCTGAGCTGCTGCATTCTGGGTCCATGCCAGTGTGACCACATAATATGTCCAGGAGTGAACCATGTGCCAGTGCAGGTCAACCTTCAAGGCCAATGGCTGCATCATCTGGGTTGCCATGGTGGCTGTGGCAATTGCAAGCCAATTGATCCAAAATGGAGGTAGGGGCTCCCCAGGAGCCAGCCTACAGGCCTTGGGAATCACCTTGGACTTCTCCCAGACCAGGCAAGTTTGCACTCTGCAATGTGAAGTAGACAGTGATGCCCAGCTCAATGCTGCTGAT